TTGGAATTTTTTGTAATTTAGTTTTAGAACACCTTAAACTAAATGTACCTAATCGCACTTAAAAATAAGAGGATATGTTTTTAATATCAATTCCAAAATCATCAGTAAGGTATTGGTAAATAATGTGTTGAAGGTTTATAAAAGTCTTTCAGTTAATATTAACGGAAGGATTTAGGTATCAATCAGAAATACATTTTAAATAGTTAAGAAGCATTTATTCTTATGATTACTCTAAGCCGAAGTCGCAAAGTCATTTGTCTCAAGTAGTTTCTTTACAAGGTGACAAGTTGAGATAAATGCAGCTACGGTGCCAACAATAGAATGAGATCTTGGGATAATCTTTATTTGATAGTCTAACGCCAAGAGACATAATTTATAACACGCTTAGTCATTTGTATACTGTAAAACTTTACTTATTAGGGTCATTAAAAAATATTCTGCGTCAAGTTAATAATATATCCTGTATAATGAATAATGAATTATGTAAAATCTATTTCATGCCTAAGTATAGTTTTCTGTTTAAAAAATGTCTTTTAAAGAATTCAGCTTTGAATTGACTTACTTGTTTATTGATTTAACTGGAGAAAATTACTTTATTAAACACGTTATCCTTCCTGGTAAAGTGTATCCACTCAATTATATTTATAAACAACGACGATCTTATTTTATATTATGTTTAACTTATAGTGTCACTTCAAGTGACATTATAATCCTCATCATCCTAGGATGATCCTAGGGCTGTTCGTGTTCGTTCCTAGTATGAACGCCGCGCCGGAGGGAGACGAAACAAAAATCTTATACCATTACCTGTCAGCTATCCTTATTTTAACTATAAGGTTTGATGTATACTTTGTATTTTTCAGATTACTCAATTGAAATTACGTATTTTTTTATCATAACCAAAATTTCCTTTAAGTTTACTACCCGTAGAAGTCAAAGTCTTAAACGGCCCCACGCTTTTCTTTTTAGTAGGTCGGAGATGTAACTGTACATGAGTGTGATTATCATTAAATTGTTCTTAAAAATTGTAAAGAAGTACAGTTACCGTTTTTCTCTTTATTATTACAGTGATTTAAAAATTTACACGATTTAACGTAGGATTATTTTAACAGTGATACTGTTGAGTGTGTGTTAAGCAAGGTTTACTATAACTCTGTTTGGAATTTCATTAAAAACAGTTTGACACGTGTAACGTATTGTGTTCGTGATTCTAACATACTTAGAAACTGTATTAAGAACTAATATATGCGTACCAATTACACAAAAGAAGCAAGGGAATTTCAGAATAAACCTTTCAAATATAAGATACATCATTTTATTCATTTTTCAAGCATAACGTTGTAACAGGATAACTGTTTAATCTAACAGGATAAAGATCCACAGCAACGAAAGTCAGTTAGTGTATCAAATTGCGTGCAAGTTGAGCATAACGTGTAGAAGACTAATGTGCTTGGTTGATTGCCAACTCACCGTTAAACATAGGTTACTTTTTATACCACATTTTCCCAGGTGAATAATATTATTTTTTGCAATACCACAACTGTGTTGAAAATTAGGAATATGTGATCAAACAATTCTGGTCCGTATTCTACATCCTCCTGGGCATAAATTGATTGGATTCAGTTTCAATAATAATTCAATAACGTTTATACTTTTAGCGTTTTTTATTTACTGTTTCCAATAATACCTTTAGACCTTTAATTTCACGTAGACTTATGGGTAATTTCTCAATATACGTTTAAAAAAAAACTAGTAAAAAACGTTCTACTGTAATACAATTCTCTACTAACGTACTATCATATAACAATATTGTGCAGAAGTGATTTATATTTTACTGTTTTTATAAGTCACATTAAAGTAAAACTACGAAGAAAAACTAAATGTTTGGACAAGTTAATAAAGTTTTACTTGACCGTAAATACTGTTTTATTATTGAAGATGTTAAATTGAATCACATAAAATAGTTAGGTCAGTATTTGCTCTCTTTAGATCCAGTTGACTGTCCGTCTATTGTCAATCAAGTCTTGTTTGGTTTAACTCTCAAGACTACTATAAACACTACAAACCAGCCGCATAAACAAAATGAGAAATAAATAAAAAACCATGTAAAAATTATGTAGTTTTATTTTAGAAATATACTTGTTTATTCGAGATAAACATATACTGTAATTGTGTATGTATGAGGAAAACTATATTTTTTCTTTTTGTAAAATCAAACTTAAATTTACCCCTCAACGATTGAAAACATGTTATGTACAGCAAATATCGGCTATATGATGTACCACACTTATGTAAATATATGTTCTCATAAAACTAAAGTTGCGTAATGGTCAGGTAGTTAGCAAGTCGAGAAATATCTTGTCATAATCAGTGGCTTAGACGTCGACATATTCACACAAACACGGAAACGGACATAAACACACACGTTCATCAATATACTCATTTTATCTATGCTTCAATAAAGTAAAATAAAAGGTTCTCGTGGACGGAACACAGGCCTTTGATGAACAAATATTTATCTAATTGTACCATAAGCCGGCTGGAGAACACTCTTACCCAAATATGTTATTCATATGATTAACTGTTAAATTGATGTTTACTAAGTTTTTTACTTTAAAATTAGTAAATAATTGTACCCCAACATGTTTGCTGTGATTTTCGTTTACAATATTACAGTTTCTATCAAAAAATAAATAATTACATGACAAATACTACTAACCATGTTTGTAGGAAGCACTATAATGAGGACACTTGAAGATTTACTGTTTGGAATATGTAATAATGTTTGTGAAAAAAGGCGATTGACCTTTTATTTTTGTACCAGTGAAAAGGTAGATCCCAATCAATTGACAAAGTTAGCTTTAAGACCGTTTGTAATGAACTAAATAGAAAGGTAAATATGATTTTTTTATGTGAAAGGGTAGTTCCGTAGGATGAGGGGTGACATTTTCTGGTGCACTCTCCCTATTTTATTATTATTTTATTTGCGTGTTTTATAGCATTTTATCAGGATTCCTTAGCAACTAAAATTTGATTAAAGTTCGTGTCGTTGCAGTTGTACATTTTGTTCGTTACCTAGAAACAAATTTCATTGTGAATATTTCAAATTCGAGGAAAGGTTTATTTTGTGAAACCAAAGTAAACCTTATCTCAAATTTGAAATATTTAAGACTCTCGGCCCCAGATCTCCCTATGTCATAGTGGAAGCAAGTAAAGTCTTCCACCTTGACCCTCCCTCGGCCTTCTTTGCATCCCAATCGCTTAATTCACCGTTCTTCCCAAACAAACCCCTAAATCTTTCCAAAGCTCTATCTTATTACCTGCGTTGGTAACTGTATCGACTGTTCTTCTTTTATGACCATTGCTCCTAACTTATTATTCCAAACCTAAAACTCTTCACTGTTCTTCACACACCCCATACACCACCTTTTACCTTTCAGGGTTTTCATTTTACAGGAATTGCTTCGCATAACCTTCGCCCCCTTCTCAGCCCCCTCCCCTACTTTCTGTCCTTTACTGGCCTCTAGGTTTGTCCATATTTTCAACCTTTCTTACCATACTAAACCACCCCAACTCCCTTCCCACTGGGGCAGGGTCAATACTTTTAATGCGGCCACTGGCAGTCTCAAGCCTGCAAAATGAGCTATGCTCTTGAACGCAGAGAGAAAGTATTACAATTACATTTTTTATGAATTTTTTTTGGAGCCTACTTGTTGGTTACTTTGTCAATAGGCCACATGACAGCCTTTTAAAATTAAATACATGAGCCTTTTTAAATTAGGTACATGAGAACCCACTTTGTCTACAAGTTATTTTCATTAATTTTGATTATTATTCATTATCAGTAGTACCAGTCTTCTGGTAAAAATTAATTAATACGAGAATCCCCTTCACTGTTAAGATGGATCGTTGTAATGCGACTTTGTTAACATGATGAAATTGAGATGTGGATGGACAGAGTGGATGCGCACTCAGTTTTGGAGGGAGCTGCAGTTGTACCAACTGTCGTTGTGGATTGGTGAGATTTTAAGGAAATATTTAAAGGAAGGAAGGTTTTTATCCCTTTGAATTTTATATTTAATTGCCATAGCGTAGTGAACTCGTGACGAATGCTCAGTTTGTTATGACTAAAATTCGTTTGTATATCACTTCATATTTTCTGCACATATTGCTTTTGATTTGCCACTTAATGTTTCCCTCGTGGATTCTATGTTCTCAATTGGATATAAATTCAAGTAATACTTTCTGAAGAACGAGAGATTTGTAGGGGGAGAGGGTGCAATAGATAAATTATTAAAATAACATCAAGGACTCATTGTCAACATCTTATATGATCTTTGGAATCTTTAACCGATTTTTATGAAACTATGTATGTTTAGGTAAAAGATACTCATGTTTTAAATAGATTTAATTTGATATTTTTTATTTTAAAACTGTGGACATATTAATTTTATGTAATTTAAATTACAAAGAAATTGCTGATTTTCTGAGAATATATTACGAAAACTTGTATTTAGCCTTTAAAATACCCAAACAAAGGACACCAAGTTCAACAGCCAGAACAGTGGGAAACCCATTTTTACCACATAAAACCCGGTTACCATTGTCCGATTATGCTGGTTCGTAACCTCGTTCGAACGGAACTGCTTCAGTAAATGGGACTGAACGTAGAGGTACAATTGTCCCTCGTGCTCAAACCAAGTCACATGCACACCCTAGAAAATTATGAAAAGAAGGATTTAATCATGTTGCATATTGGATATTTTGCTAGTGTTCCGTAAATTGATTCAACATGTATTTTGCAACTATGTACTGTCAATTGTTAAATAACAGTCTTTCATTTTAATACTTTCTCTCTGCGTTCAAGAGCTAAGCTCATTTTGCAGGCTTGAGACTGCCAGTGGCCGCATTAAAAGTATTGACCCTCAAAACCCCAGAAGGAGGGAGTTTGGAAGATGTTTTAAGGCAAGGGAAGTTGAAAACATGCATAAACCCAGAGGTCAGAGTAGAGGATATAGTAGGAGAGCGAGTGGAGATGTAAGAGGGTATAGTAGGAGAGGGAGTGAGATGTAAGAGGGTATAATAGGAGAGGGAGTGTGATGTGAGAGAGTAAGTAGGAGAGGGAATGTGATATAAGAGGGTATAGTAGGAGAGGGAGTTAGATGTAAGAGGGTGTAGTAGGAGAGGGAGTGAGATTTAAGAGGGTTTAGTAGGAAAGGGAGTGAGATGTAAGAGGGTGTAGTAGGAAAGGGAGTGAGATGTAAGAGGGTATAGTAGGAGAGGGAGTGAGATGTAAGAGGGTATAGTAGGAGAGACAGTGAGATGTAAGAGGGTATTGTAGGAGAGGCAGTGAGATGTAAGAGGGTATTGTAGGAGAGGCAGTGAGATGTAAGAGGGTATTGTAGGAGAGGCAGTGAGATGTAAGAGGGTATTGTAGGAGAGGCAGTGAGATGTAAGAGGGTATAGTAGGAGAGGCAGTGAGATGTAAGAGGGTATTGTAGGAGAGGCAGTGAGATGTAAGAGGGTATTGTAGGAGAGGCAGTGAGATGTAAGAGGGTATTGTAGGAGAGGCAGTGAGATGTAAGAGGGTTTAGTAGGAAAGGGAGTGAGATGTCAGAGGGTATAGTAGGAGAGGGAGTGAGATGTAAGAGGGTATTGTAGGAGAGGGAGTGAGATGTAAGAGGGTATTGTAGGAGAGGGAGTGAGATGTAAGAGAGTAAGTAGGAGAGGCAGTGAGATGTAAGAGGGTATAGTAGGAGAGGGAGTGAGATGTAAGAGGGTATAGTAGGAGAGGGAGTGAGATGTAAGAGGGTATAGTAGGAGAGGGAGTGAGATGTAAGAGGGTATAGTAGGAGAGGGAGTGAGATGTAAGAGGGTATAGTAGGAGAGACAGTGAGATGTAAGAGGGTATTGTAGGAGAGGGAGTGAGATGTAAGAGAGTAAGTAGGAGAGGCAGTGAGATGTAAGAGGGTATAGTAGGAGAGGGAGTGAGATGTCAGAGGGTATAGTAGGAGAGGGAGTGAGATGTAAGAGAGTAAGTAGGAGAGGCAGTGAGATGTAAGAGGGTATAGTAGGAGAGGGGTGAGATTTAAGAGGGTCATGTGGTAGCACGAGGCTATCTGTCGTCTAAGATCAAAAATACTAAAAACGAACCTAGTGTATGTGGGAACTATGACGTTTGAAGACACAGGGGTTTTGTCGGAAGACTGTACTTGCTTCCTCTATGACGTAGGGAGATGTGGGGCCGAGAGTCTGAAATATTTCAGATTTGAGATAAAGTTTTATTCTGTTTTTGCAAAATAAAACCTTCTCTCGCATTTGAAATATTTATAATGAAATAACGTTTCTAGGTAACGAGAATTACATTTAAATACAATTATTCACTTATTTATAAGCTACTAAGGCACAGCTAGTTATCGACATGACTTGGTGCTATGGTATAATCTAGTCAATACTTGGCTATGATGTATTCAAATCCAAAGGGTTCGAAAATAACCACATTTATAGCTCTAAATATTATGAAGGACTCTTTAAAAAAACAGTTTGAATATAAATTACACCATCAAAAGATATCTAATATTTATTAACTAAAACTCAATCACCTTAAAACGCCTTAAGACACATGGAACAGCTAGTTTTAACAGATGCGTATTCCAAATCATCGAATAAGATCTTCCTTATTGAACCAAGTTCTGAAATACAAGGATATGACGGTATAAATGTAGGCTTACCCACTTTTTATTTAGGTACGGTAATTTAAAAATATATGTTGTAAAATCACATACAACTTGTACTTGGTGCCGTCCTTTCGCTGATATGCAATCTTAACTTAGTTTCAATATTACTTCAAATATTTTAAGAGTTTTCGGGGGTTTTACCCAAAAAACATTTGTGTAAAATATTAACAAATATTAAAATATTAGATCGTCCATACGAAGGAGAGGGTCTCGTTTGTATTCCGGTTTATTTGATGAATTTGAAGAATATTTTTAAATTGTAGGCTTATCTTACTTGGATTAGTGATACAAATCTTTAGTTAATATTGCCGTTAATAATATATTTAATTGATAATACCACTGATTTACTCTTGAGTGATGTAGAATATCTCTTTATCGATTTAGGAGGAAAAAACAAACTACCTTTACCTAATGGAGTTTTAAACCGTGACGCGTCTTACCTTTATTTACATCATAGGTTTATGTACATCATAAGGAGCTGGCAAACATTTCGTACTCTGTGCTTTATTTAGACAATTTGATTACTGTTGTTACTGTTGTTTTTGTTAAAGTCAATTGTAAACAGCGACCAATCAATGGTTGTAAACAATTGTATCTTTCTGAGAAAGATTGTAGTTGTCTATTTAAACAACTCTAACACCCCATAATGGTTATTATACGTCATGACTTTACCTTACAGCCTGCAATATTTTAGTTAGGGTTATGAATTTATTAATTTCTTCAGCGTCTAAAATATAATATAATAATGGTACGTCGCAGACAGGTGGGAGGTATTATATAATTACAGTTGGCGGATTTGAGGCCAGGCAATACATTAATTAATACTATGCTCTACCTAGAAGGTATGAAATAGTTGACCAGGAAAAAGTAATAATGAATCATATGCAGCCATACGTCTGTTTTACAATATTCCCCTTTTAATACTTGGTTACGATGCGTATTCATTGTAAATTATTAATAAATTTATCATTATATTTAATAATATTTTATAATTATAGGTTTTGATATAAATGTATCTATTTGATTGACAAAAAGGTCATAAAAGTTGTATTGGTGTATTGTATTGATTTATATAAATCGGATATGAATGAAAATACCAGGTTCAACTGAACCATATCTGACTCCCCTGAGAGGCAAGTCTTGTTTCCCTTTACAGGCTTCCATATTATCTAACATCAGGTAGATGTGCACATCTTCTTTGTTTTCTATTTTCCTGGTCTACTATGTTACTTAAATATCAATTTATCCATGAATGCATGCATTTTGTAAAAATAGTTTGCCATGAAAGAGTTTTCAGATACTTACATACTACCCGGTTACTTTGTGTTGGTTAAACAAAATTCTTTACACAGAGTGCTTTGTAGACATCCTGCTTTAATTCTTACTTTAATTTCAAGAATTCCTAGCCTTTGAGAATATTGAAGCTTCCGTCCGGATTAAATAAAAATAACTAGCAAAATAATAGGTAATATAAAGGACATAAATATAATCAGCCGTTTCAAATATTAGTGTAAATTTCAAATTTTATATCTGTTTAGATGTAAACAAATATTTTCTCCATAAGGCTAACATGTGAACTTAAAAAGCCAATGAGACAGAGCCTTGATTGCATTTCAAATATTTTTTGTTTGTTGGCAAACCTACGTGCCATGGCCTATCCTAGGACGCCTTGAACATGGTGAATGGTAGCATGGCAGCTTCAAAACAATTATCACAAAATTCATGCTAACTATAGATTACCAAACAATCAAAATTCTTTCATCGCTGTTGTTTCTAAAACAGTCATGTAATTTTGACTCTTAAACTTGCAATCTTTTCTAGTATTAGATTGGGAAAATTTAACATCTGCAATATATAAATATATAAATATCATTCATATCAATATATAAATTGCAGGAATGTTAAAATATAATATTTGGGGAAACTATTTTCACTTGCGATAAGTTTATTGAGAAAAAAATGTTTACCCTAAAAATCGACAAGTTTTTAAAGTTAGTCTTACATAGTTACAACATCAAAAATGTATATTTTAATTAAATGTAAACAGCGAGTTATAACGGTTCATATTCAATTTTATATATTTGCACGGTAAAATATTGGGAGCTTTATGGCTTTGTTTTGACTGTATAGTTTTGTGACCTTGCCAACAGAAACTAGAGTTCATAGTTGGAAACAGTTTTATGAGACAACTACCCGTGCATATAGCGTCCCACTTCCTGTTGGAATTTTCCTATTACATTTCAATAATGTGTTTGGGTTTCTATAAATATGTTTCTCTTTTTTGTTTTATTCTGTTTAAGTTAATACAATAATGCAGTGAGAAACATTTTATTAGTTTTAAACTATTTCGCAGAACCTAGTTAGCAGATGGTTTGACTTAGATGCAGAACAAGCATACTGTAATTTATAATAAGTCATAAACACTTGATGCCAAACCTTTCTCGATAGCGTTGAAGTTTTTTTAAGTCAGCCGTCATTTTTAAGTTGACTTTCAAAAGGTGCTTTTAATTTTTAGATGGTATTATAAAGTAAAGGTTTCACGGGTTTTTTTTTTTAAGAAGCCAAAAAAATGTTTATTCATTATTAAAAACTTAGAAGGTAAGTGTAGCGTTTTGGTAGAATTTTCATCATGTGTATTTAGAAGCCTGCTTTTCAATAATTAGTCAAAGTAAATTCCCCTGCCCCCACTTGAAAGTTAATTTGTAATTCATGGCTTTGAACACAATGTATGTATCTAGTATGTATGATATTTGCCAGGTGATATGTACTGTAAGACTATACTTGTATCTTTGAGAGTTTAAAGCCCAGCTGCTAAAATCTCTAGCACATCAGCTGATAACAAATGTGAAGACCACGTGCTCCGAGCTGCCAGCTGAGGCAGATATTGAGTCTGTATTGTTGGGACAAAGTGGTATTGGTTTGAATGTAATAGATTCGACAGGGAAAAGGATTTTTCCTTTATTCTGCTCGACACCTATTGATCGTATATCGCTAATATCGGTATACATCAGTAATATAAAATATTTAACTTGTAAAGTATTTGTAATACTAATAATTAATGTACAATACTTGAGAATAAAATAGTTATAACTTATTTAATTGCCCGTAACATAAGCCTATCTGTTGAGATAGATTCAACGACAAATAACTGATTGCATCATTCATCTCATTAGACAAAGCTAGCTCATACTCCTAATATATGTTACCAGTAGGGTAAATAATAGGGGAAATTGGATATAGTGTAGAAGCTATAACGAATAATATCGGAAACCCGATTCTTTAGAAAGGTATTGAAGACAAAATAGACCATATGCATCCAAATAAAGGACGATGCAAGTACAATTCACTCAATGTGGAAGACTTGTTACAGATTGAATTTAGAAAAAAAAAACAAATTGTTTAGGTAGAATAGAACGATATGAATGACGTTTTAATCTGATACTAATGTATCACCCAGCAACATTTTAATTAATTTTCCCCAACATATGACTACATTGTGTATCAAACAATGTATGTAACTATTTCACTAACATGCCATACATCACTGGTGTCTTCCATTTTGTGTGAATTGTGGTACGCACGGTACTTAAGTTCGTCTAATACGTTTCTGTGGTGGGTTTTAACTTGTAAGTTGGCCCATGATACCTCAACGCACTAACCATGTATATGTATAAATAGGGTTGGGCAAAAGTACGAACACTCCAAATTAACTTTTTTTAACAGGTTACACCAGGAAACCCAAACCCTCCAGACCTCTGTATGGCTTAAATTGCACTTTTTAGTTGGTTTCCCGATAACGTCCGAAACCCCAAAATAGGTCATTTTGGGGGTAACTCAAAAATTGTATAAAGCCTGTGACACCTTATTTTAAAGGCCATTAGTTAAAAAGAATATCGGCAAAAACTAAAGGTCTCTACTGTATTTCAAACGGATTACAACATACCGGCTATTTTTTTTTTCATCGGCCTGATAGACCCTATGTAAAGATTGTAAAAAAAAACTTCTTTTTGGTCGGTATGACAATTTTGTCCAAAACCCCCAAAGTAATCATTTACATGCTGGTTGTAAAATTGCCCGTTACAATGCCCAAATTTGACATATGTATATATTTTTTAATTAAAATATTTTGATTCAAACGATCAACAATTGATTATGAAGAGATTTAATGTAGTATGTTTTGCTCGACGTCATGTTAGAGAGTCTAAATATATGTATTTTCCCCAGGCGGATTGAATGGTGAAATAATATAGAAAATACCCAAACTGAAATTATTTTAAAATATTTTCGGTATGAATGAGTTTTGTAGTTTCAAAGAACACAATAAGGTTTATATGTTTTTTGTCTTCGTTTAACTTGAAATAAAA